TACAATGATCGACTTCAAAAGCGCCAAAATTCCATTATGACCGCCCTACACAACTAGATTTAGAAAACCTAGATTAACCATTTCTCTTTTAGATTATAACCATCCACTTGATTCTTCACCTTAATCCATTTCTACCCACCAAATTTCATCTCAAAATACCCCGTTTGACCCACCATCAAGCCTAGATCCTATTTTAGCAAATCTCATCATCCATCATCCCATCTTTATTTGACCAATCAGACCTCACCACTTTATTTGGAGATCCAAAAAACCCCAGCATATCAAATTTCACAACCAAACTCCTTCATTTGACCGTTAAGAAAGTGTGATTTCATTTCAAGCCTTCCCGTTAAGGCGTTAATTGATAAATCATTGGCTAAAACATAGATTCAAACTAAAGCTGTTAATTTACATTTTTGATCAAAGATCCATCACTCCCATTAGATTCAGGACGTCCAAAAGTGCCTATCCACCAAATTTTATCCCAAAGTTCCCCTATTTGACATTTCACTAAATAACGATTTTATTTTAACAAATCTCATTGATTTGAACTTGGCAGCCATAGATCTCCATCATCCCGATCCTATTTGGCAAATTAGACCTCACCACTGTGTTCAAAGGCCCAAAAATCTTAGCACGTCAAATTTCATGACCCGATTCGCTCGTTTAACCGTTAAATTAGGAAGATGCCATTTGGATGCACTAGATCGAATTGCCATCTCATCTGTCCTAACCTAAAACCTCAAAAGGATGATGGTTGATGTCAGACCCATTATTGACTTGTTCAAACACTTAGACCAATGAAAATGATCCTAATAGACCCAAAATCCCAAAAACCTAAAGATACCCTTACTTAAAACTAAGAAAAAACAAAATCACTTTTAAAAGTTCATCAAATTTATATTTTCTACCACTAACAGCCCCAAATACGAGACTGCCATGAAAAACACGCCCCAAGCTCCCATTAGACACACAAAACCCATAAAAACCACATCCCGAATCGAAGTAAACCTTTCACCAAAGAGGAAGGCTTGACTAGGCACCATTTTCTTTAAAAAAACCTTTGCTTATTTATGTAAAAAATCTTTGTTGAACCTAGACACTGTAACTAAACAAGTTTTAGACCTCTTCCTCTATAAATATATACCCAACTTAAGCTTTGGAGGGGGAAGAAACCTAAGGGTAGTTTTTGAAAGAACTTGAGGTGCAAATTTGAAGAAGAGAGATCTTAGAAGCACTACCAACCTCTGTAAAACTTCCATTCGTGAGAAACCCTAGATATATGAACCTTAAACTTCAAAACCACCATCTATGTTTCAAGTTTGAAATTTTCCTGAAATCCCTAAGCATTCGTCCATATCAAACCTCTATTAAGCCCATTCAACTATTCTTTTGATCAATTCGATTGCTAGAATATCGCTGTCAAACTTGCATACAAGAGGTAAGCCTCTTATCCTATTTGTAGCTCGAATTTGTGCTTTCTGTGTTGGTTGAAGTTTTGAGACATTGGAGAATCATTGTTCTCGACTTCTTCTAGATTGAGAATAGAGACAAAGAGGCAAGGGTATTAGGGAAATTAATACCTAAGACCCGATAACATTACCTCAAAATCGGTCTTAGGAGAAATTGAGAGCATGTTTCTCTAGATTTCAGAAATTCCAACTATTTTTGTTGTTTTTTGCATGAAATAGAGCCTAGATAACTCTTGTATTGAGTTGCTACAACAACTTGGAGAGAGAGGTACCTAACACCTTCCCTTTCCCAATCATTTTGGATTTAGAATCTATAGGTTGTGTGTCTTTTCCTGTGGAGAACAAAATTACTATTAAAGACATAAATTGACTTTTCAAATCTAAAAATTAAAGCCCATTTCCTCTAAAAAATGGGTGATGAATCCATTTCTTTGAACTACCATGAGCTTTCTGGAGCTCACACATATGTTATTCCATCTCTGATCCTTTTCCATGAAAATGACTTAATATGCTACCAAAACCTCTACCATGCATTCTTGCTTTCCATACAATGATCTTTCTCAATCCGTTCATGCCAATGTAATCCATAGAAGCAATGTCTTTTTTTTTTCTCTTCAAAGCACCAGAGTTAACTTTATACTTATGTTTCTTGGGTGGTTTCCATTTGCACTCTAAATCTCTTGTTGTTAAGGTTGTGCCTCATCCGGTCGAAGTTGCCACATGGATGTCGTCGTATCTTGGGCCCAACTGACTTCTTCGGGCCACATGAACGGATAAGCATGCTATGCACCGGGGGTCAACAAATGATCCCCAAATGAGAACTTTTGAGGAAGCTTGACCTATCTCCTAGATAGGTGTCCCCATCGGGGAAAGTGGACCTATCTAAAGACCACGACGGGCGGCCTCTTCCCATAAACCCCATGAGGGATGTGTTCGAGTTTGCCACGACATTGTGCTATTTAAAAGCATCTCCCCCCAAGGCTTAATCTATCTAAGCTCTTTAATTCTCACCCGCACTTAGCACCCTTACTTTCATACACTTTTCCTTGGTCCGAACCAGCTTGTCCCAATCAATCTCATCACACATTATTGACTTGAGCATCAGAGTGCCTTCCTCGGAAACCATATCCTTGGGCCTCTGACAATTGATTTGGTTGCAGATTTGTTCGATGCACCACTTTATCCTTCCACCTTGACTCTTCCAAGTTGGTAAGATTGGACGACATCACTTACTCATAAACCTACAAGATAGTATTGTTGTGTATCGGGAACAACTTGCCATGAATGACAAGGGAGACATTTGCTTTATACACCTATAGTGTCTAGGAGTATAGATGTGGGTAGGATATCTAAGCTCTTCAAGTTAGACACTTATAAACCTCATTTTGCATTGTTCCTAAGAAAATTCCCATATTTTGAATAGGTATTTTGTTTCTAATTGTTGAGGAATAATTAAGACGTCTGGAAATCTATTCGTTTCTATTTTATAAAAATAGAAACAATATTTGGATAACAGTATTGATTCTTAAGATTAAATTTTCAAACTTGAAACATAGTATTTCCATTTGTTGAATAAAAATCCCAAACTTGTTTAACATTTTCTTATATTTGATTAATAAATGCTGGATCACAAATTTGTTTAAAAATCATATACCTCATTAATAAAGAATTCCGAACTTGTTTAACATTTTTGCATACAAACACTATTTTGGACGGTTAAAACGATGGGCTAGTGTCATATAGAATCAAATAAAAAAGGACGGATTGTTCAAATAATGACACCCCAAAACGATGGGCTATCATATATTGATCAAATCACAAACATAAATGATTGCTACTTTGCTAATGTAGGTAGAAAAAACAAAAAGAGTGTGAGAGAAGAGTTCACTGTGGTTGTTGTTCTCTGTATATGCAGTGTTAGGAAGAAGGAAGAAAACAAAAGGAGTTGCATCAATTTTTTGTTTTAATGAAATTATAAAGTTGCCCCTGCTTTCACGTGAAATACTCCCACATGTGTTTGTTTACAACTTCAAGATTGACGATGTGGGAAGTGGGAACTGCATGGTCACAACACAACAATCCCACTTCCAAATAGGTTGTTCCTGATGTCACAAATGCGAGAAACATTCCCACAAAACGATGCCGAATAGGTTGGTTGATGTTTCGATTTTCATTCTCACAAAATTGATTTTCTTTTTTGAATTCTCACAATACTGATTTGCTCGCAAGAATTCCACCTACAGCTTTCAAGCACTTTTTTGGGGAGGGTTATCCTTAATATTGAAGATCTTTTCATTTCGCCCCTTCCGTAATGCATATATAGCCCAAATCTTGTCTCCACTAATCCGTAACTGAAGGATCCAATTCATTTGGGTCCGGGCACATTGGGTTGATAGCCATTCTATTCCAAACAAGATAAATTTAAGATACAAGGACATGGCTGAGTAGGTGATATCGTTCCAAATCTAATATGGCATTATGGTCATGGTAGTGTATTCCACAACCCACTCTGAGAAACTCAACCCTGCAAATATTTTAACTAATAATTAAATAAAAAACAATGTTCTATAGAACATCTCTGGTGAAATTCCATAGGTGGCATCTGCTAGTGCAGGAAAACAGAAATGACAGAAAATTCTTTTGCTCCGTTTGATGATCAAACAACATCAACTTGGAAACAAAAATAGTTAATGGCCCATTTACATTTTATAGCTTGTCTGAAGTGCCTATGAACACTGTTGGACCCAATAATTCATATACATGAATGTGAGCTAAAAGGTGAGAAATTGAAATTCAGATTCAATTCGGTGGGGCCGTGTTTATGTTTGAGGGATGAAAGGATGCAGATGCAAATTAATGACATTGAAACTCCATGTTTAGCTTTTGGCTCCTGCAATTATTATTAGCCCATTTAGGCCCATTAGTTTCATTTATGTATATTGACGGTGCCGTCAACAAATGTCTCAACATTTGTGTGTATTGAATTTTACAAATTTTGATTTCTATGTACACCTTTCCCATTTTAAGAAGCTTCATTTTGAAATTTCCTGAACCGGATAGACATTTTACTGATATAGTGCTTAATGGCGCTTATGTATCATAAACACCTTCATTATATGTATTTCTCAATTTTGCGGCCACACAAGTAAAATATTTACTGAATAAACTTAAAAGGAAACCAAACACCCTCTACAACACACCGGAACAGAACACTGCCGTGTTCATTTAGACCCACATTAATTCCTACATGACATTGTAGCCGTAAGCAAAAATGTTTCTGGTGCATTGCGTTGTGATATTCCTAATACACGGCTACAATGTGCTATGTGGAGCCAACCGAAACTCGTGGTGGTGGTGAGAGCCTGCCTGGGCATTGAGTGGATTCAACGTAACTGAGGGAAACATTAGTCCAGAGTCCGGATCTTCTCCTCGTACAGCTCTCCTTACACGCCATCGCAGCTGTGCATCGGGAATATATTCTGTACTTAAATATTCGTGGGAGATGTTCTGTGGAATGGAAATGTGAGGTCGTGTGAGGTGTGTGGTCTGTGAGGAGCAAATGCCGATCCAAGCCGAATCCAAACGGCCAAACACATAACTGATAAGTGATAACCCCCGTCCCCCGGCCAACTCTGGTGCAGGCGGGGCTCGATCCGAAGTCTCCGGTAAACCAATTAGCCAGTTGGCACCTTGCAAAGTGTACATTTTAGGAGGGTTTAGCATGTTTTTTTTTTTTCTTTTTTCTTTTGTCGACGAGGGGAACCCAAATCTTCCTTGGAGGTTTTGACCTTACTAGAAACTCTAATGGAGGGACTGAATGTTGCCGATGCAAATTTGGCCGTTTATATACATCCATCAAAGGCGGGCAAGGTTTCTCAAGCGATTCTTCGACAACTCAGTACTTTGCTCTTTAAGTACGGTGCTCTCTCTCTCTCTCTCTCTGCTCACGAAAAATGAGTTTGATCGACGACCTTTTGCGCTAGTTACGTTTACCTTAATAGCTTTTAATTGTTCGGTTTTGATGATTCCTTTAACTTCCTGAATCCTGGTTGTTTGGTTTGCTGTGCTCGGGAAAGCCTAGGTTTGGGTCACTAACAGGACAACGTGGGGAACGGACCCTGACTGCAACTCTGAATCGATGTTTAAACTGTGGACTTGTCCTAGAATTCTCGTCTTATTAAACATTTAAGTTATAAGGGATTCATTAGGACACTCTAGATACAGTTAGTTCTGTTGAATGCTATACGACGGATGGATTCATATTTTATCCCATTTAATGGTTTCCGAATAAAAGTAGTGCCTCAGTGGGTTCTTTTTCAAATTTTGCTGGATACATATGGAAACACACTGAGGAGTCAAACTGTCAAAGTAAATGTTATTTCTCAGTTTACCGTATTTGCGATTTCTTATCATGTGCTCGACTTGTAACTTATGATAAAACCGTGCTTGATTTGTGGACCTCTAGTTCACAATATCCAGATAGAAGCGCCTGAAGTTCTATTACATTTTTTTTTTATTTAAAACTGGTTGAATCATGGATCTTGTGCATAAACACGTTTTGACATTATCGTGGCAAACCTTTTTCCATCCAACAACATGCACCCATGATATTTACTAAATTCATAAATGTAGAACAACTTGTACGATGCACCTGATATGAATTAATATTTACTTTGGCAAAGATTTAATTGAATGATGACTTAGCTCTGAAGAGCCGAAAACACTGCATTAAATTTGAGGTTTCATATGCAGAACACAGGGTCTGCATCAAAAACTGGCTTTGAAGTTTTGAAGGTTAAACACTTGCAGCTGAATGGGATATTGATTCCTTAATGCCTTCCTGCCTTGTTTGGGACTTATTCTTATTGAAAAATAAAATGGAAAATTGTTGATTCAATGCCTTTTGTTGCTACAAACCACTAAACACAATGGAGAAAAAATGAACATGCTTAAAGGATGGTCAAGGTAAATAGAGGAAGTAGAGACAAAAATTGGGAATATAACTAGGAAATAGAGAGAAAATGAGAAGGAATCAATCCATAAAGGGAAACAGAAAATGAAAAATAGGGAAAAGATCAGGAGAAGATAAATAAAAAAGTATTTTTTCTTGTTCCAACATGAATCTTGAATTTTTTCTGAAATTCTGGTTGTTGACCCATCAAATTCTGTCCAGTCTGCTACCAGAATTTAGAAGGCCTTGAAACCATGCAGGTTTTTAATCTGAGTTTTGCTTTAGTTGTTCAATTTGTTAAGAAGTGACATCTCCAAATCAGTTGTTAGGTCACATTTGATGATTTTCCATTTTATGTTTGCACTTTGCAAAGATTGATATTAGTAATTTTTTTTAGGTGAGTTTACTGACTTGGATTCAGTGGCTCTGTTTTGCAGGTACATCGAGGTCTTTGATGGTGTTGTTCTAGCCTATGATGTGACATTTCGGGATAAAAATGCCAAAGTTCTTCCTGGAATTAACTCATATTTTGGAGTAAAACTAAAAGCTAAGATGTTGCTCTTTTCCCCAAAGCCAGACATGCTTTTAGGTAGTTCCAATACAATCTTTTGGATCCTATGTATGTGACTCCAATGTTTTTATATTCAAAACTTAATATTGGTTTGAGTTGGTCCAATAAGCTGAATGCTCTATGCTGATCCTAGATGGTCCCTGATTTCTTATATAGTTAATGCAATGACATATCTCTATTTTAACAGGAGGTTATCATCCATGAAGTAATTAGCTTAGAAGTTTTGGAAGATTTGGTAGTTTTTAGTCAATTAATTGAGTTTCTTTCTTTAACTTAAAGGGAAACTGGTAACATATTCTTAATTTTTTTTTTTTTTAATTTCGGTGTTAAAAGTACTTGCAGCTTTTTTTTTTTTTTTTTATAATTGAATTGTAGTTTCATTAATCAGAGAAATATAAGCTGTTACAAGCATCCATTGGAGAGGCACGAGGTGCAGTCTCTCCTAGACATTACAGTGAAAGCAGAATAAACCAGAAAAAGTTACAAACTTGCCCAGAATAGCTCTTCCCTAAATACCCCTTGTTTGGCAAGAGAGTCAGAAAAGACATTTTCCGAACTACCCACCCATTGGACTCTAATTGTCATGTGTCCAGTTAACCATTTAAATCTTTTCATTACATCCTATGGCTCCAAGTAGCTGAATCGGGGTTCTGCAACCAACCCATAATTACCTTAGAGTCCCTTTTAATCAGTAACTTTTCTATCCCAAGTTATTTGGCAAACCGAACTCCTTGTAGAATCACCCACTCCCACCAGGCCTGAAAACGGAGATAAGATATTGCTTTCCTCAGATCTCAAGACCCCCCCAATCCCTGACAAACCTGGATTGCCTCGGTTACTCCTGTCAAAGTTCAGTTTAATAAAACCTTCCGGAGGAGGTACCCAAACCTTCCGGAGAAGTCGTGCACTCGTGCTAGCAATTACAGATTAGTTTCTCCAGAAATCATCAAAGGAAAAGAGAGTGAAGGGTTCTAGGGTTCTCAACCAGTGTATAGCTCTATTCAAAATACACTCCTTCACTGCTGGAAGAGTTCTTCTCCTTGTCATGAAAGATTCTAGAATTCCTTTCTTCCCAAATAGTCTACAAAGTAGCTGCTCTAATGCACCTCCACATGCATTTCCCTTTTTTTGTTGGCCAAACAAAGGTAGACGAGCTGAACAACAATTTTACTTTTTATGGCATTATCTACTTCAGTGATTTAAAAGGCACGCCTAGGCGCACAGGCGAGGCGCATTTCAGGGTATGCGCCTCGCCTAGGTCCTAGGCGCAGCCCTTTCAAAAGGCGCACGCCTAGTGTGCCTAATGCGCCTTGCGCCTCAGCCCAGGCGTGCGCCTTTTGAAAATTTGACGCTTTTTCGCTTTTTTTGAACCTAGCGGTTCGGCCGGGGGATCCACCCCCTGGACCCTAGTGCCACGCCCCTCGAGGCAAGCCCAAACAAGTCCACATTAGGTCTTAAATTCTTAGTTTTCACACAAATAATGATTTTATGGTTTTAATTGCTTTTTGAGAAGACATTTTATTAGGATGAATGAATGAACAACATTACCAAATTGGGGGTTCTCGGAGCTCCGGAAGGCGGCTCGTAGAATTAAGAATGTAATATGTTTTACATTACATTAGCTACGTGAAGTAATGCAATTGAGTGAAAAAAGAGATTAGAGGTTTTAAATGCTTGAAAACGTTTTATATGTTTGATTTTATTTTTAAATTCTCATTTGAATATGCTTTACATCTTATGTTTATGTATTTTAATTTTAGATAATAGGTTTTTAAAAACATTATTTTAAAATTTAAGTTTATATTTTTTATTAATATTATGTTTAATATTTTTTGAATTTTTTGGCATTTTTTTGAATTTTCTGACATTTTTTTTTATTTTTAGCATTTTTTTAATAATTTTGTGCCTTGCTTCAAAAAGGCGCGTGCCTTGCCTTGCGCCTCAGGCGCAAATTGACCCCTACGCCTTGCGCTTTTAAAACACTAATCTACTTACCACCAAACAAATCACAATATGCACCAGTTTGGGGATAGACACAAGAAAAGCCTTTTCTTTTGCAAGTTTTCCAAAGTATTAATCTTAGCATGGTACACCTCCCAACAAAGGACAACTATTTTAGGGGGAATAGGTTTGGTCCAAACTTCTCGCACAGGAAAAGACCTAGGAACATCACTAGAACACATGGATTTGGAAAGGAAGCACAAGAAAAAAGAGCCTTGGGAAGCAAGGGCCCACACTCTCTTATTAGAAGAAGGGTCCAAACAAACATTACCAAGATAAGAAAGCAACTCAGTGACACAAAGAAGTTCAGCTTCCCGCAAACCTCTGCGAAAACCAATAGCTTGTAGTTTATTCTACAATTTTAAATATAAGACTTATCCAACAGCTTCGATTTTCTTACCTTCGAACCCTTGGCAGTGGCAATTTGGCCCACATTGGTTTATCAAACGAGCTGAAAGAGGCAAATAGATCTGGAGAACAAGAGATAGCTACAACAGGAAAAGGTAACAAGCTAAAGTACAACAAGCATTTAGAGGGATAGATGATGTAGGACAATTATGATCCATGTTTGGAAAGCCTAAAAGAATCTTCTGAAGTTTATATTTGGACGTAAGCTTCTAAGGGTGTCAGTGGGTCTAGGGAGGTTTAATTATGTATCTAGTGTGAATAAGGATATGTGATTGGATCAGGAAGGATCCTGGTTGGAATTCCACCAAACTGTGGAGATCTCTTGGGTTTGGGAAACTAAAGAAAAAGAAGGGATTCAAAGGTAAAATTTTCCAATGAAGTTTGTTAGGATAGTTCAGAATGGAGTGTTATAAAGGATGGCTGTGACGCTGAGTATGAGAAAACTTTGGTTGTCCACATTCAACAACCTGTGGTCTCCACAAGTTCTCTCCAAGTGACATGTTAATTCATACAGCCATGCCTTGAGTACTGCTACTGTTGCATAGAATCCATATGAACTGATGTGTCATGCAGGGGGGGCCCTGTGGATGAAGTTTGTTAGGATAGTTCAGATGGAGTGTTATAAAAGATGGCTGAGACATTGAGTATGAGAAAACTTTGGTTATCCACATTCAACAACCTGTGGTGTCCACACACACATACTCACTCACTCACTCTCTCTCTTTCTCTCTCTCCAAGTGACATGTTAATCCGTACAGCCACGCCTTGAGTACTGCTATTGTTGTATGGAATCCATATGAATGTGTCATGCAGGGGGAGCCCTGTGGATGGCACAAGCTATTGAATATATACGTGGGGTTCCAGGCATATTTTCCAGGACCATAAGACCAAAAGTTCCCTTAGTAAGAAAAGTAGATAATTCCATAAATTGGGGATTGAGGAGGAAATTTCAAATTCTAATTTAGGGGAATGCTCTGGGCGGTAAGAGAGGGATGGCTGGATTGAACCTGGTATTCATAAATTTTCAAGTGGTGTGGTTTTGATTGAGAGACTTCTCTCTTTAGGGAGATTGTGAATGGTCTGGCTTTGGTCAGTATTTGAAATGGACTATCTGGGATCAATTACTGTGTCTGGTTAATGCTGAATGAATTCTATTCCTCTAAGTCTTGATAGCTATGGATGGTTGATGTTAAAGAACACTTCCATTGTCCACGAATACAAAAATGGATATAAATAATTTTTGTAAAATTTCCATTTTAACAACAGATTTTGCATCAGTGACTGACCTATAATGCAAAGACAATACCTCTCTCTCTATCCCTCCCTCCCCAACCCCCTGCCCCATGCTGGAGATTAGGATAATTTGTTAGTTTATCTTGGTCTCTAGCTCTAATTAAGCGAGGGATCTCCATGGGCCTCCAACAAAGAAGGTGGCCCAATCAATAGTGATAAAATCATCCCCTTCATTGGTTATTCTCTCTAACCTAAAGAGCTTGCTAGTCTAATTCTTGAAAGACCAAGACAATCTCAACTCTGATTTATTCCTCATCACCAGCAGGCCACAAAGTATGAAGTGGATGGCTTTCAAGCTGCACTAAAGCATTTATACTGGAGGGCCCTGGATACCTCAGTAAGTCATCCATCAATATAGCACCATTTGATCATTTTGCTAGAGAACATTTTCACATCTTGTGGTTGTTAATTCTAGGGGTGGCCACAGTCGAGCTATTCGAGCTCGGCTCGGCTCGGCTCGATTTAAACTGAGCTTCGGGCCAAATTCGAGCCCAATATATAGGCTTGTTTGCTAATCGAGCCGAGCTCGAGCCCAATGAAGCTCGGCTTGTGAGGCTCGCGAGACTAGTATTAAATAAATCATTTTTATTATATATATGCATACATAAATACATACATATATATATGTATAATAGTAAATAATTTTTATAATTATTTTTTTATAATCATTTTTATTATATATTTTTATTTTTTGTATATATAATATTAAATAATTTTTATAATTCTTAATTTTTTGTCTAAAAAGTAAAAAAATAATTTTATACATATATTTTTTATTTTTCAAAAAAAAAACTTAGCTTATAATCGAGCTCAAGCCGAGCTGAGCTCGAGCTCGAGCTCGAGCTTGATACTATTCCTACAAGCCGAGCTCAAATAGCAAAGTATTCGGCTTGGCTCGGCTCAAATCCACCCCTAGTTAATTATTGTTTCTTCTGTTCAGCTACTTATGCGAAGGCTATTAGTAAGTGATTAACTGAAGACCCTAGAACAACATAATATACATAGTATCTAATACAGTTATGTATACATGTAAATTTTAAGATCTTTATCTTTCAAACTTGGTTTTGGGGTTCTTTCATTTTATTTAGGCTTTGCATGCTTTGTTGATGACATCTTTTATGCCTTTCGAGCTCTTTCTTTCTTTCTTTCTTTTCTTTCTTTTCTTTATTTTTTTTAATTTACTCATGCATAAATATGAACCCAAATGCAAGTTTTGTTAATCTGAAATTTCTAATTTTGTTGATATCTTTCTGCATGCATCTTTAAATTTGCAATTTTTAACATGTCTAGTTAGTTGTTCCTTCTTTTAACTTGCATGATGATCCGTTGTTATGATACTCTAGAAGGGAAGGTGGTGAAGCTTGGAAAAGAAGCTCTTCATGTCATTGTTCTTGGTTTCTCATCTGCTTGCATTGCAGAGGAGGATATTCGTGAAGAGTTTCATTATAGAATCGTAAGGATTTCTGTGTTCAATGGACCATTTTTTGTCAATTCTCTGTACTGTGGTAACTGATTACTGTACTATTATTGTTGTTATGGGAAGAGACAAACTTATCACTGGTTTTGCTTTTTATGATTTATTTTTTGTTTTAGAAACATGGAGAGGAAGTTTTTGCTAGTACATCTCACAGGCGACATGTCATCAAGGTTGGAAGCATGATAACCTTCTCAGTGAAGAGGTGATCTATTCTTTTTGTATGCTATTTAGGTTTTTTAAAAAAATATCCATGCACCCAGATAAATTTGGACTAAGTTGATTAAAAGCATTGGGTTAAGGTTGTCAATGCTCCAACATACGACACTGACATAATTAATGCAGGAAAAAAGAAAAAGAAAAAGAAAAGAGTAAAAGACATTCTGATGCAATAATTTCTTCATATCATGCATTTGTTATTCGTTAGTTCTAAATGAGAGATTCTAGCCTTATTTGTAAGGTTCTTATGATATTACGTATGGTTGGACCACCTACTAGCAGCATTTTATGGGTCCTAGTGATGTGGGGCCTACAGATTTGAGATAAAGGGAAGCCAATTGGATTATTCTTCCTAGATCTGTATTGTCTTTTGAGTGTTTTTGTGCTAGGCTTCACCAATTCATTATAACCCAACTTCTTACCATGGGCTTTTGAGTTTCTTTATTACTAATCTCAAAATTATTGTTCTACTTTACTTTTTTATGTTTTGTTCCAAACCATTGTTATTGACTTACCAATTATCTCTCCCCCTTGTTATCTTAACCTTTGAAACACTCTTTAGTTCTATCTGGTCTCTTTTTTGCTGGGTGTTCTTAAACCAAGTCTTGAACAAGCAAGTTGAGGTCCTTGTGATTTATTTCCAGCTTGATGAAGTTCATTCCGGCTTAAACCAAGTCTCAAACACTATTTCCAGCTTGATAAAGTTCATACACAAAGTTCTTCATGCAATGTGATTGCATCATCTGTAACAGGTATCATAAGGATGAACTTAGAAAATTTTTTAGTTGCTTTGGTAGCCTACATGATTTAGTTATATACCTTAAAAAGGTCAGATTTCTTAAGATGCTCTGATGACCTCTTAGTGATTTAGGGGTTTTGCATGTTTTGATCAGTGCTTTTAGGTAGTACAATTCGTTCAAGCAGCTGGGAAAATTAATTTAGATCTCAGTCTTTTATATCAATAGTGTATATTTGCTTAGAAAGAAGTGATTGGTAGTATCCTATAGGTTAGTGAATATTGAACATTTTTTTTTTCAGATTTCTAACTCTATGTGATGATTGATCCTTCATTTTACCCATGCATGAGAAGTGGTATGCAAAGTGTGGATTTGGGGAATTTTTTGGATGAGACAAATTCTTACCTGTTTGTTCAATCTGAGTTCTTATGAATTGACTAGAGATCCACATGCTCTAGAATTTAACTTATTTAGTCAGTTCCAACTTCTTTCTGGTTTTAAGAGTCAATCAGTCAAATAGAGGTTATACATATGGTTATAATATGTGAGACATTGTAGGGAGAACTAAAGTACATAACTTTTATTTGAAACGTGGGTTTTTCTTTCCTTGTACTTAGTCTCCACTCTGTGCTTCTTTTTCTGGTGTCATCACTGTCAAAAATCCCTATTGATATATTTTTTAAGATTCTTTATCAATAATGGAGGCCAATGATTATAGTTTAAATCTCTTTATTTAAAATTTGCATGATACTATTCTTTTTTTTCCTACCTATTCTTGATATTTGGTATTACCTCTGATATCAATATCATCATTCTCAAGTTCTTTATTATGTTTGGTCTTTCAGTTATTTTCCTACATTTAGTTTGTATCTTGATATTTACTAGAATTAGTAGAATGCTATTCCTTGCATTCAGTGGCATTAGGTTTTTTTAATGTGCATGCTTGGAGCAGTCAAAGATAAGCTAGAACTGAAATGGGCAAAAAAAATTTTTAATAAAATTACTGTTATTGATAAAAAAAATAGGCAATAATTAGATGTAGAAGTCTTTTAATGTGATTTTCAAAATATTTAACTGTAATTTCCATCAAACCTTCACAAATGTTTCAATTTATGACCTTTTTTTTTTCGTGGCTTTACTGTACTTTTCAAAAATAAATTGCTTTAGTAAACTGGTCAACATATCAAGAATTCAGTTTACTGTTTTCTGATAAAACATTGGTGACTTTGATGATAAAGTATTTATAAAAATATTTGATGTTAAAATTCCATTATTATTTGTACAGTTTTTTTTAATGATTGTAGCTGCAATATTTTTGGTACCTTTTTTGCTATCTGCTTTTTAATCATTCTGATCTAGCTTAGTTTCCTGAATTCAATGAAGCTTTGAAATTTCATTTTTAGTAGTAATTTGGCATGACTCTTTTTCCATCGTGGTAGCTTTGATGAAGAAATACTCCATATATCTGGATCCCTTATTCCAGAAAACACTGGAAGCACCAAATGGTTGCATAAACACGTGGAAGAAGGTTCAATAGTAGAAAGGTTTGACACTCTTACGCCTATTTCAATGTATTCTGTTTTTGATTTTATATTTTATATTTTTACTGTGTATGTTGAACTGAAGGCCCTAGACATTGGAGARCTCCTTGTTGAATGTAGCAAAATATAAATTCACCATGCTGCAGTTCATGAATTTTTTACTGTTATACTAACAAACAAAATGTCTGCAGGAGTATCAAGAAGCAGAAACAAAAGGATGATAGAAGCAAAATGCAGGAGCATTGTACTGGGATACTTGATAATGCAGGATTATCTTTGAACGCTGAAGATCAACCAAAGAAGACAAAAAGTCAGAGAATTATTTAAGAGTCTTGAATCAATCTGCTGGAGGGTCCTGAATTTGTTAAAGGAGCCTACTTGCAACCTGGTAGCTTATATTGCTCTTTTTGGGCTTGCTGTATGTTCACCACTGTAAAATTTTTCTGTAGAATTCCTAGTGCCAATATCTTTGACCAATTAGATGCCCCCATGAATTTTGATGGATACCATCTGATTGGTTACCATTTTTATCATGCGGGTTGATTGTTTATTAGTTTTTTGGGTATCATGCTTTTTTTTGGTATCGTAGTTGCTATATTATGCTATTACATATGGTTAACTAGAAATGAAATAATTTTTGAAAAAACAACTGAATTGGTTCTTTAGCACATATCATTATTATTATAGTGTAGTTAAATCTGCTAATCTATGATAATAAAATGGTTAATGGGGAGCCAAGTGAGTCATGTGCAGGATAACCTTTGGGAGTTGCCTTCAAAAGATTTCATGTAAATAAATTACTAAGGAGGTAGTTATGGTTCAAGGTATTGATATCATGAGTTTTTAAACAGCAAAACTCACATTTTTTTAATAATTTTTCAGTTCAGTATTTCAAAAATAAATGTCTTGGGAGTTCTTATGTTTGAATTATAGAAGCCCCCAGCCCCTATATCCTAGTATATAGCATATCCGTTATGGTATGATATGTATCAGATACTTTGAACCCTGGGAGCTAGGAGGTACTGTAAGTTTGTAACAAGTAAAATAGGATCATATGGTTTTGTAGTCAGAACTGATATGGACTATTTTCTTTGGCTGCAGGTGGACTAGGTAACATTGTCGAAGGAGCCAGAGAAACAGAACTCTTAGAAATTTGTTTTGCTGTTTTTTTGTGCTAAGAGTGAAGGTTCGAAGAGTGCTGGAGTGGGACTCTCAATTCCCCCCCCACCCCCCCCAAAAAGAAAACGAAAAAAATGAGAATCGGACACTCGTAACTATTAAGGAATTAAGGTATGGAATCGGATACTCACGAAAAAAGATATGTTCCTTGGTTTTCTAGGTATTTTGGATCGTATGGACTCTTGTTTATATGTTGATCATATTGTGTTTAAACACGTTAATAGACGGGTTAATCGCATGGTTTTTAAAAACGAACCGGTCAAGGGTCTGGTTACCGGTTCAA